TGTATGCCAAAGGTAAAAGGAAAAGGATAAAAAGGTTTTAACATCCACGGTACGCCAAAGTTAAACACAGGCATGGGTTAATTGATCCTTACAGCACTGAAGTGGGTGTTCCTGATTTCCTGAATCAGGGGTAAGAGACATCTGAGGCCTGGAAGGACCCAAGATGCACACACAGGGTTGTTTCAGATCTGTCTGACCCCGGGATACATGTTCTTTTTCCTCCACTATGTCACCTTGATTTCAAGCTACTCCTAACCTCTGTGCAAATAAACAAGTCTCTTTCCCATGATCTACTCCCATCTCTCTCTTCCTTTACTGCCAAACTGTGGTTCACCTGTTAATGCAGAACTCCCTTAATCTCTTTTCTCATCTCAGTACAGGATAATTTGGCTGTCCCATAGTTCACTAGTTCCTCAACATCTTTTGAGCACCTACCGTACAACAGGAAGTACACTAGACCAGGCAAACAGTCCTTGCCTGAGAGAAGCTTCACAGGCTGGTGGGTTGAGACAGGTAAATCATTCCACCACAGGGTGCAAAATCCCTGCTAACGCAGTCCAGTTTCTGTTTAGACCTTACCTTACCTGAGCTCCCTTGCATCGTTTTCCCCCGAGGACGAGCATGTCTGTCAGGAAGACTTTCCCCTTTTCTTTCTTCTGTGGCTTCCCTCACCCCTGGTTTTCTTCTTTGCTTCCTTTAGAGTTCCTTTTGCATCTCTTTTCTTTCTGTTCCCATCTCCTCATGTGAAACATCTCTCCCGGTGGGTACCAGATCTCTCCCTTCAGACAGACACTCAGGACGGACATTCATTTCTTCCTCAAGAAAAGATCCTTTCCTTGGTGGCCCGTATTACCTATTAAAGATCTTGGAGTCACCATCAATCCCTTGTCCCGCTCTCGCAAAAAGACTTGGCCATTGTGCTTTAAAAATGGCATCATGAGGTGGTCAGGTTGCCAGGGCCTCTGCCATTAGTTAACGCACAGCAGGAACTTCCTTCCCCCTCCCTGTTTGGGGTGCATCTTATATGCTTGAACTGTAGCAATGATTAAAAAAGGTTTCTTATGGTATTCGTACTTTACTCTCCAAAACCTCCTAAAATTGTCTTTCCTGCTGCCATGAGACCAGGTCTCACTTTCAGAGCTGTTCACCATCTGCTCCTGGTCAACTTGTCTGGTTTCTCTCTGGTTTAGCCACAGTTCTTAGCACACAGAAGGCACTCAGTGAATACTGGAGGGGAGGAAGTGGGTGCCGTATAAAACCTGACTTCTTCTCTCCCCAGGGCAGTATCAGATTCCCATTATGTAAGTAGGGTGTCTGCTAAGTGTACCTCTCAATAGTCTCTATCATTTTTAAATTATAATGCCATAAAGATTAATAATCTGTGAAGTGTTTTTAAAAAACTTTGCTCAGGGGTGCCTGGGTGGCTCAGTCGGTTAAGCATCTGACTTCAGCTTACGTCATGATCTCACGGTTCGTGGGCTCGAGCCCCGCATCAGGCTCTGCACTGACAGACAGCTCAGAGTCTGGAGCCTCCTTCAGATTCTCAGAGCCTGAAACCTGCTTCGGATTCTGTGTCTCCCTCTCTTTGGCCTCCCCCACTCATGCTCTGTCTCTCAAAAATAAAATAAAACATAAAAAAACAAAAAACAAAAAAAAACTTCTGCTTCAAAAATTTACTAACCCAGTGTATGTGCTGAATTGTGTAGCCCCCAATTCATATGTTAAAGTCCTAAACCCCAGTACCTTAGAATACGACAGTTTTGGAGATGGGGCTGTTAAAGAGGTAGTTAAGTTAAAATGAAGTCATCGGGGTGGGCTTTGAGCCAGTGTGACTGGTATCCTTATAGAAAAGGGGAATTTGGACACAGACACCTAGAAGGAAGACCATGTGAAGGATGACACAGGGAGAAGATGGCCGTCTATAAGCCAAAGACTTCCAGCCTCCAGATCGGTGAGAAAATAATTTCCACCTGGAAGCCACCTAATCTGTATGTTGTTGTGGCAGCTATAGAAATTAATATACCCAGTGTCTTTTAATTCCCTTAGGTTTTAAGTCCTGCATCAAGGGACTTGATCCTCGGGAAAGGAATGGACTGAGGATCCAGTAAAATCTCTCCTACCATCTCACATTTCTTTGAAGTATTTGAAATTTGTCCTGGGGAAAGGAGGGCCATCCTTCCCTTTTTTGGACTAGATGACATTTATGATCAGCTACCCAAAGAATGGCTTTTTTCCTTCCCATTTTGGGACTATTCAACTTATTTCTCTTGAAGATTCAAACAAAGCAAGAGTCCATGACAAATATCCTTAATCCCCATTTATTGCATTGATTTAAACAGATAAGGAGTTCAGTATTTTCCAGGCTCTCGTTTTAGTAGCTCGAGTACAGGAAGTTCTCTCTGGCATGCATGGCCGTGCCAACTGAGCATCACGTTTCCAGAGAAGATGCTTGCTGCAGTGAATTTATGTGCTTTCCAGCAGTTCTACTGAGGGTCTGGCCTTGGAGAAAGCGAGTATTTTGAATCACTAAATTTGGCTTATTCAGATTTTCCCAGTCCTATTTCAGGTCGCCATGTTGTCAACCTCAAAATGCCTATCCTTCCTCCACCTCCACCGCCCCCATCTTCCAGCCAGCTCCCCTCTGCTTTGGTGGTAATGGAGCTGAAGACATTAAATATGTTGAGTGGGTTAGAGAACTTTTGCATTTACTGATCATCTGCTCTGCTCTGCTCTGATTACCCCGATTAAATAATAATTTCAGCCCATAAAAGCCCTTGAGAAGTTCACCTTCATACCTGCTTATAATAGCACCATTTACATCTCAGGTTGGTGTGAGTCCATTTTATTTTATAAATCCAGAAAAGAGACTATAATTCTTCTCTGAGAACTTGTCATTTATTTTCTGTATCTACTCTGAACTTTTTGTGCCACAGCCTTGAACTTGTTTCATCCTGTTCTATCCATTATAGAGGTAGAGGATAGCTAGTCACCATGTATAACAGCTTTTTCTTGAGACATGAGGCATTGTTAAATTGCCTCTGTACCTTCTCTTTTCCAAACTGGGCTTTATTGGTTCTTTAGCCTTCCAGGACTTACTTAAAACTTTTAATTACATATAAGATGTGTCATTAAAGCCTCTCCATATTTCTCACAGCTCTCTTTGATGATGGGTCCAGCACTGGTTGAATATCACCCCTACAATGAGAAGATAGTCAGTTTTCCCACTCTGTGCTATAAATTACATGTAGGCATTTTGGTTTCATGGTTAATTTTCATTTTTTGATTTAGCTAATTACAATGCATAGCAGTTAAACAAAAGAAGATTATGCAATTCTTTTTTCCATGACAAAGGGTAATTGAAACAGATAAATTGCAGGTAGTCTTTTGACTTCACATGAGTTGACCCTCAGATTCAGAGAGAGAAATCTATTCCGTGGACTGGAACCAAAAGCAAGAATTTTCTGTATCTGTCTGCAGTCTTAACATTGCCTCCAACCAACTGGATTATAGTAAACAAGTCATTTAACTTCTTTCTATATAGTTTTATTTATTTATGAACCTGAGGGAGGTAGACATCAAGGTTAGATGACCTCCGAGTTGTCTTCCAGCTTCGAAGCTCTCCTAATGACAGTTAAGTCGATCAGTTGTGGGTTTTAGTGAGGAGGTGTATTTGGAGCATGTAAGATTAATTTGTTTGAAATCTATCGAGTCCATATATTCAATACTACCTACTGCATGCCAGGTGCCGAATATGAAGGCCTGAAGAAGGGCAGTCATAGTGAAGCAGCCTGGGGGCTGGGGGACAGCAGCTTGATGGCAGTGGCTGAAGTTTGAGGTCGAGGAAGTAGAAACAGTGGGTACAGATGATTTTTCCAAGGAGCTGGACTGCAAAGAGAAAATACTTGAGGGGAGTGAGCAGGGATCAGAGGAGGTCATTTGTTAAATTTGGAAGTACAGAGCCAATTCAGAGGTTTTGGGGGAAAGAGCTTCTATTTTTTTTTTTTTTAAATGTTTTATTTATTTCTAGGAGAGAGAGAGAGACAGCGTGAACAGGGGAGGGTCAGAGAGAGAGGGAGTCACAGACTGAAACAGGCTCCAGGCTCTGAGCTGGCTGTCAGCACAGAGCCCGACGCGGGGCTCGAACCCACGAACCGTGAGATCATGACCTGAGTGAAAGTCGGACGCTTAACCGACTAAGCCACCCAGGCGCCCCTGGGGGAAAGAGCTTCTAGAGAGGAAGGTTTGTCCTGACAGAGGTGAAGATGGAATTAGGAATGAACTTGAAAGCAAGATTAAGGATGGAAAGAACAGATAGATAGGTTGCTCTGGTGATACAGCAAACATAGAAAATGTCAATTGTGGCATCTAGAAGGTAGATGAATGGTAAAATATAATTCTTTCCACTTTGCCACATGTTTGGAAGTTTTGTAATAAAATACTGGGAGGGACAAAAGGAATGTAGATTGAGAGTTTAGCTTTGAACAGAACAGGGGACACTTGTGACTACAGATGGCCACAGACGGCTAAGTTCTAGATTAAAGCCTCAGCTTCTTTATGAAGTAGGAGCCACTCTGTCCCTCTGGGGCAGAGAGTCAGAGGAGCCCTGGGGAGAATGAGAGCTGGAATTACCAGTTGGGGAGGAGGCGAAGGGACTGAGCAGACCTGGGGGTAAAGGAGGAAGCCATGAAGGCTCAGGTTCTCTTGAAGTTGGAGGCCGCAGAGTTGCGCTGGCGTGAGATTTTTCCCTAGTAGTTGTCAGGAGACAGCAAGTTAGTAGGGCGCTGGAGCGAGAGTTTAAGAAAGTGGTGATTAGATGGGGGTGAATGGCTCTCCCCAACTGTTGACCAGCCTTCTGTTCTGGAACAAGGCTCTCAGGTTCTGCTGGGATTGTGTTTTCTACATCACTGAATTTTTATTCGAATGAAATGAGATAAAAATAATGTTACCAAAACGGTGTCATTGTTAACCTTTAACTAATGTAATCGTATTGTCTTCCTCAGGTAAAAGAAGAACGTCCCGAGAAAATACCGGATCTAAAATTATTAGTGGAGAAGAAATTTTTGGCTTTACAGAATAAGAATTGTGACACAGACTTGCAAAGTAATGCAAAATTTGTACAGTTTAAACAACAGCTGAAAGAACTAAAGAAGCAATGTAAGTCCACATGCTTTGCTTTGGTTTGGCTTTTTGAATTTAGGGAACTGACCTGATACACTGCCCCAGAAAACTGACTTTGTAAAGTCTGCCTATCTGCTTGGCTTGATCCTCTTTCTAAATTGCTTTTTATTGTTGTTGCAATTCTGTATTTCGTCTAACTTTTGGTTCAAATCAGCCTGTCCATTTCTGAAAGCCAACAGTTTCCACAAAGTGTTAAGAAAATTCCCCAGCAGCTAGAGGGCAGTTACGCGGAATTGTCCCACTGCTGGGGAGAGGAATTGGGAAAGTAAAACGGAACTGTTTTATTAAAATAGCAGTCGTGTTTTTCAAATTATAAACTGCTGTGCCACGCTTTAAAACAACCAGTTTGATTCTGGTTTTGCTGCTTTGGAGGAGGAGTAGCACCGCTTTCTCTGACTCGTATTTTCTTTTCCCTTGTGGACCAGAGTCCTCTTGATCCCTTCTGTCTCAGTAGTCGCATAAATGCCACGTGACTGTGATTTGGACTCCAACATAATTTTGATTTAAAAATGGGAAAGGAAATGATTCATTATCCAAAAAAAATTTTTTTAGACGGTATTTGACAGAAATCTGTCTCTTCTGTACAGAGAAGTGCATCTGTCCTTTTCCTCTTTGTCTGCATAATCCACTTACCAACTTTATGTGATTTGATCATTTTTATGTCAGCGCTGTTTGTCATTCCTTTAGCCTCATGACTCTCTTATTCCTTACAGAATTGGATAGGGAAGCAGATAACTTTTTTGTAAACTTTAGGTTCCCATCACCTTCATTTGCATACGTTCGGAGCACTGTGGTACCACATGCAGATTTACTTCATGTCCTTATTTGTGCTGAGTGGAGGGATTCGTATTTTGAAATAAGCTTTCTTTTAAATATAAGCATTTTCTTTAAATTGATGCTGAGATCTCAAAAAATGACCGAGGAAGCAGCTTTACTTTTGTCTATCTCACAAGTAACTTAAGTTTCACAATTTGGAATGTTTTGCAATCATGATGAGACTTTTGCTTTAATGTGGATTTAAACAGTAAGCATTTTCTCCACATTTTAGTCTGTTTTTTTGGTTCTTCTTTGAACATCACAGCTACCAAAATCCTTCTAATATAAATTGCATGGTCCCCCCCCAAATGGGTAAGAATCCCCCAAATGGGTCATATAATAATTTGCTAGTGTCTTTCTGATCTTAAAGATGCTAGTGAATTTCAGCTTTTGGTGTTGGTCAGAGTAGCCACAGGTATTTCATTTTTCTGCTTGGAGCCAATAATGACAAATTATCCGATCATAATTCTTGGTTTTTTAAAAAAGATATCTTATAATACATATTGAAGGCTAAATATCCAAAACTATAAGTTTCTTCCTCCTTTGTTATTGTTTACAAAGTTACTGTTCCATTAGAGACCGCTATAAAGACTTTTAGAATCATACACTCACGGGGACACACTTTCTAATGAAGACTGTTCAATTCAACAAAATGATAAATGTTGGAATCGTGATTATTCCTTTAATTCTCTCTAAAATGGTCAGGGGATGGTGTTGGGGGTGGTTTCCAAAGGCCAGCAATACTACACGTCATTCGGATAGACGGTTAAACTTTATGACACAGTAGATTTATACTGAAAGAAATGCTTCCTTATCCAGGTTTCCCTATATATCTTACACTGGTATTAAGACAAATTTCCCTTTTTGTTTCTCCTAAAATACTCTTCTCAAAAGCTTTTAAATCTCAAATGACAGAGCAAGCAAAAATATTAATACTTTTTTAAAGAGCTCTGTAAGATGAGCACATACGTGTGACTTGCAGATGCGGTTTTCAGTGCGTGATTCGTACTGTCAAAGTAGTACTGTGTGCAGTGGGTTCTGTGTCTTTAGCTCTAATGCTGCCGCGAGGATGATTAGCATCGGGAGCCCCCAGTGTTCGTGGAGCCAAGGCAGAGGGACTGGGGTTTATACAGGAGCCGGTGAATGTTTGTTTCGAGAGATGTCCTAAAGGCAAGGAATTACAGTAATAATCTTTTGTTTTAAGACTGGAAACTACGGGCCAGGGAGAGATTCTTGCTTCAAGTTGCCTATCTTGGCAAAGGGAGGGCTGAAACCGTTTTATTGGTCAGCACAAATCGGAAGGGTTCTTCCATGAAAATCAACACCACGCTCTCACCACCTTTATTTACACAAATGTAAATTGCATGGGATTAAATTTTGCCCACTGGGGGCCCAATCACAGGACTAGGAAGTCCTTTGCGGGGGTGGGGGGGGTGGGGAGGTGGAAGAGCCGAGATGGAGATTGAAGTCCGGTGGCCTGAGGAAGTGGTGTGCAAGCCGCCCCTGCGCACCCCGCTGCGGCAGCAAGTTAACCCAGCTGTAGCTCTGCTGCTCGTCCTCAAACGGTCTGGTCTCAAGATCCCTTAAAAATCTGCATCTTAAAAATCTGCTGAGGGCCTCCAGAGAGCATTTGTTTACATGGGTTATAGCAATTGACATTTATCACCTTAGAAATCAAAACTGAGACATTCTTAAAGTTATTAACCCATTTTAAAAATCAGTTATAACCACCCCCAACATGTTACCGTAAAGAGGATTATGAAGTATAACTACGTATTTTCCAAACATGATGAAAAACGAGTGAGAGGCGTGAAATTGTTTTCCATTTTTGCAAATCTCTTCAGTTTGTGGCTTTAATAGAAGGCAGCTGGACCCTCATATTTGCTTCCTCCTTCAGTCGGCTGCAGTACGTTGTTTTGGTTGAAGGCTACAGAGAAAATCTGGCCCCACACATCGGTAGTTGGACTTGCTGAAAGGATCACACAGACCACCCGAAGTTCTCATTTTGAGAACCACAAATTTGGACCAGAGATCAGTAAACTATAACCTGTGGGCCAAGTCCAGCCTGCCTCCTGTTTCTCTAGTTCGTGAAAGCCAAGAATGGTCCCCCCCCCCCCCAACATATTTAGGTTGGTGGGGGAAAATTTAAGAGAAGAATAATATTTTGTGACATGTGAAACTTACATAAAATCCAGGTTTTAGCGTCCAAACTAAAGTTTTGTTGGAATGTGTAGACACACTGATTCATTTCCACATGTGTGTGTATGCTTACGCTGTGGTGGCAGAGTTGAGTGCTTACATCAGAGACCATCTGGCAAACAGAGCTTTTAGTATTTGCTACCTGGCACCTTACAGAAAAAGTTTACTGACCTCTGGTCTAAACCATAATCAGAAACAAGGACAGTTTGCGGGGCAGGCGATGGGGGGCGGGGGTGTTTGTTTCTTATTTTTAGCTTTAGATTTTTCCATAAATACCATACATTTGTCTTTGGTGCATTACAAACACTTTGAGTGACTGCTGTATGTGAATCATTGCATTTGGTGCTCCGACATAAATAAAAGGCAGAGAAGATAATACATGCAAGCATGAAATAATGTGACAGCTGTTAATAAGAAATAAATCAAAAGCAAAGAAAAATTGCAAGAAACCGCTGTTACACAACATAGGAGAGAGTCAGAATAGAAGAATGCAGCTTTTATTTATAGGGCTAATATAATACTGCCTGGCAGTTGATATGGGAAAGAGTAGGGATGGTACCAAAATCTGGTATTTGCTGTCCCGAGAATATAAAGGTAACAGGTATGCTGTGCTCATTTAGAGATACAGTTACTCAAAAGGTAACATCTTACATTGCACACAGTAATTTTTTTAGTAGTTATTTATATCTTAAGGATATTACAAGGCATTGGATACAACTTCTTTGGACAGTTTACCGACCCCTGATCTAACCACAGTCAAGGGCACCTGGGTGGCTCAGTCAGTTAAGTGTCCAACTCTAGATTTCAGCTCAGGTCATAATCTCACGGTTTGTGTGATCGAGCCCCAAGTCAGGCGCTGCACCATCAGTGCAGAATTCTCTTTCTCCTACTTTTCTCTGTCCCTCACCTGAGTGTGCATGTGTGCCCACACCCCCAACTCTCTCTCTCTCTCTCTCAGAACAAATAAATAAACATTTAAACCAGTCAGAAACAAGGGTAGGTTTTTGGTTTGGATTTTTTTTTTTTTAACTTCAGATTTTTCCATAAATACCGTACCTGGGGACCCACTGTGTTATATATTAGAGATACTGTGTCACTCCCAGCTTCCCAAGATTATTACCAAGATCAAGATAGTGGATCTTTGAAAACTGAAAGCTTGCTTTAGATTTCACTTATTATTGAGAAAAGCGCTGTAGAACATGGTGGAAAGAATATGATTTTAGCAGCTAGAAGACCTGGGCTCGAGTCACTTAACGTGTAGCTTGGTTTTGCTGCCAGTGCCACCCATTTTTCTTAGTTGTAATTCTTGGCGTCGTACAAATCAAGACGGATTGAAGATGCTTTTTACACTTGGTCGTGGCAGTGACAACTGAGTTAGGGAACAATTCCAAAGAAAAAAGATTCCATTTCCCTAAATGAGAATCATGTTGTTAATGAACCCAAGTTGTGAAACCCAGCAATATGACTTGGTTTAGGGAAGATGTAACCGTTTTCTTTTTTTTTTTTTTAATGTTTTATTTATTTCTAGGAGAGAGAGAGAGACAGCGTGAGCAGGGGAGGGTCAGAGAGAGGGAGTCACAGACTGAAACAGGCTCCAGGCTCCGAGCTGGCAGTCAGCACAGAGCCCGACGCGGGGCTCGAACCCACGAACCGCGAGATCTTGACCTAAGCGAAAGTCGGACGCTTAACCGACTAAGCCACCCAGGCGCCCCGATGTAACCGTTTTCTTGAGTAAAATGATTTTCATTTACCTAAACAATACGTTCAGGTGATTTCTGTCTTCCTTGACTCTCTTACTTGAACTGTCTTCATTATTCCAACTCCTGGTTTCCTGTACTTTCACATCAGGAGAACTTAATTAGAATGTGCAGTACCCCTGTATGGACCCTTTCTCAAGTCCTCAAGCAATCTTTCTGCCATCCTTTATTCATTCACCTACTATATAATCAGCAGGCACAAGA